TAGTGGTGAATCCCAGACTAGGGCTTGCTCAGGCCTGAAGGCATGGAGATGGGAGATGAGCCGCCACATCAGGGACCCAGTTACCAGACGATGGGGACCAGGACTTGTACCTGATAGAACTGGTGCACAAGGTGACAGCCACAAATGGGACACTATGAGTGCCAAAGCGTGGGGCCGAGTCTGTAGGTTGTAGGACAGGTGGCTCTCTTGTCTTACAAAAGGAAGGGAGAAAGGCAGGGCCCAGCAGCTTTCGCCTGGCCAAGGGCTGTAAGCCCCAAGGAGCTGTGAAATATGTTCCATCATTGCCCTCTGTTCTGCGCCCTGCCCGCTGCTCTGAAATAAATTGGGCAAACGTCCCTGAACTGGTGTTCTGACATCTGGGGACCTACTTACTGTTCATCCAGCTGTGTCTGCACAGCCAGCCTGGCCAGCTGCCTCACATACCCGCTCTGTGGGCAGGAGGCTCCACGCCGCCACAGTTCTTAGACATAGTATGGAGTGGTGATGGGGGGAGAGGAGCCCTAGTCGTTTCATTTCATCCCTGGGGACAGTGATCTAATGCTGCAAAGGCAGGAGCTCAAATCCTGAGTGTCCCAGGCTGTATGTTTTTGGTCAAGTCACTTACATCTCTGAGCCTCAATTTCTGTTGTGTCGAAGCAGGGGGGAGTGGGGGGGGTAATTGTAGAACCCACCTCACGGGGTTGTTGGGAGTGTTTAAAGAGACATACACGGTACCCGGTACATGGAAAGCATCCCACAGATGGTAGATGGTGTGAGTGTTATCCAGAGCAAATGCTGCCAGGAAGACGCCCCGTGGTGGGGACCTTGTTGCTCCCGTATCCACAGAGACTGTTGAGAAACTTGGTGTATCCAGCAAGGGCAGGAAGAGGCCCCCTCTGGGCACAACCAGGTGTCGGGTTGAGTGACCCGGCTGGGCCTGCTTTCTGGGGTGGGGCTGGGGAATAGAACCCGGCCTAATGAGTAGTGGCACGGAATCCATCTAGCTGGCAAAACATGGTCCCTGGAGGGGATGGGGACCAACAACAGCTGAGTTTAGTCTAGACACTTTTTGAATACAGACCCAGCCTGTGACCCCTCCTTTTCTGGGAACCTGGGAACTCCCCCACTTCTCCCACAGATCTGAACTCCAGCAGCAGTGTTCCTTCCACCTGCCTCCCTCTGAGGCAGAGCTGATAGGATTGAGGTGGACTCCCACCCCCAGGGGCCAGTCGGAGTTAGCGTTGGAATGGAGAGGGGCTTGTAAGCCCCCTGGCACTCAGACCAGGAGGACATGTGAGCTCAGGAGTTCATGCCAGGAACAGCAGATGGACAGAGAGAAACAGAGAAAGAGACCCTGCAAGCAAGGGAAGAGGAAAAGGAAAGGGAGGGGGCTGCGAAGGCTGCTGCCTGGCCTCTTGAAGGCTTTCCAGGCAGTTTCTGGTTCCTGGCCCTCGTGAGGCGCAGCTGCGTCCCTGCTCATGGACCCCGGGAGGCACCTCGTGTCCTTATGTAACCAGCTTATTAAATGAGCTGGACCCAGTCAGGTGTAAGAAGAAACCCACTTTATTTTTTCCCCAGTGTCCTTTCCAGCCTACTCTGTGGGCTAGTTTTATTCCCAATTGACGCTGAAAACTTAGCAGGCCCCTTTGTCTTTCCGCTGCTAGGCATGAAAAAGCCCAGTTGTTGCCTCCTGTATCCACAGAGGATACGACCTAATGGTCACGTTCTAGCAGTCACGTCATTCCAGCCAGTCCAGTGTCGTAATCGGAAGTCTGGACTCCTAAAGCCAGACCAGACCTGGAGGCCTGGGGTGGGGGAGGCCACACGGCAGCCTCTTCACTGAATCCCGCAGTCCTGCTGCCTCCTGGCTTGCTGACCGATGGGTGTGGCCCTTGGGGTTGGAACAGGGGCGAGGGAGAAGTGAAGTGTAAGGGGGCCATCTTCTGTGGCTGGTTTGGTCGTAATCCAGAGCTCGTACCCATGTGCTGTCTCCCCCCCTCCACCACCACCCCCCACTTTTGCTGCCGCTTCTTCAGACTTTCCCTCCTGGGCTCTCTGACTCAGTGGCCCTAAGGGGGTAATGCTTCTCCAGCTGACCACTTACAATTCCCTGCCTGGCTCCTGGGCCAGCTGCACTGTCCCTACCCCCCACCGCCCATCCGGCTGCCCTCTGCTTCCTAGGAGACGTGTATCCTTGCCTCCCCTGCCCCCATCAGCAGGCTTGCTGTTTGCTTCCAGTGCGGTCAGTTTCTCACTGCGCTCGGCCTGGGGCCCGGAGACTTGAGGCATGAGTCAGATCACCGTGCTGATGCTGGCCTATGCCAAACTCTCAGAATGGACCCTTGGAGTCCCTCTCACTTGACTTAGGGTGATGGGGAGCCCACCCTCCCGGTGGTGGTGGGGAACCACTCACCCCCACCCCAGGATGCTTTTTTTTGCACTTCAGGCTGCAGGCGGGCAGTGATCTCATGCTGTAGCACCAATCTGGGGCCACCCCCTGCAGGGATGGCCTTGCACCTGCTAGAATGTGGGATACTTGGCAGTGTACTGTGGAGTCTAGACACAGCTGAGGCAGAAAGAGTGCCTGGTTAACATTTCGCTACACTTAAAATGTCCCCTTTTGTGCTGAATCCAGTTGGCTGGCTCTCTCTTACGGTAACCAAGAGTCTTTACAAGACTAGAAAACAGACGAGAGGTGGTCTTGGGAGATTAGGGAAGACCCCTTGAGCTCCCAAAGAGCATCTTTGGAGAAAGTGCATGGTAGATGCCCATAGACATTGTTTTCAGTAGTTTGAAGGCTCTCTTTCCATCTTGCTCAAATTGGCCAGATTTGGAGGTCGGGGTCCTGTTCAGTGTCACTTGCTTGGAGAACATCACTGTCTTCCTGCTGTGTCCCTACACGAGCCCAGCAGGTGGGTCCCCTCCAGTGACTAAGGTACTGGCTCAAACTGGGACATGGGGGTTTGGCTGAGGTTTCACTGACTGCCTTCTGGGTCCACAGATGCATTCACCGTGGAGACCTTAAGTAGCAGCAGGACTCCTGTGACCGTGAGCCTTAACGGTCACCGGGCAGGATGGGTGAGGGGGAGGAAGACTGTTGAGTGGGTTGGTCAGACCCAGGGGTACTGACTGGCTGTGTTTGCTGGTGGGTGGAGCTGCTCACTGGGCACTAAGGCGAGTGCACCTGAGCTCAGCTCTCTCACCTCCTTATTCTCTCCTTTGATGCTGTTGGTTTGGTCAGCTGCACCCTCCCCCCATTTATCTCTAAAGAGAGTGGGTTCCCATCTCTGATGGGCTTATTCCTTCCCCTCCTTCCGTATAGCCAGGAGGTACTCATATATGATTTGACCAAGACTCAGATTTGGGGGTTGAGGTGGGGATTGGGAGAAACAGCTGGTGTCACAGCCTGCTTTTGTTTAGATGCCAACTAGCTTAGAAAAAGGGTGGCTCCTCCTCGTCCAGCAGGGCTTCCCAGAACTCTCTGCTTTGGACTTTGGACCCAAGACCGGTGACCGGAGAGGTTGGACCCTGTTTTCCTTGGCCGTCGACCTTCTATCCCACACACTCCACTCGAGTGTGTGGGGGGAGGTGGCTATGGTGTAGGCCAGCGTTGAAATACTCTTATCAGATAGCATCCGGATTTCACTGTAACCTTCAAAACTGACTTGGGTTTTGGGAGAAGGGAGTTAAGAACTCATACTTAGTGCCTTTTACCCAGAACCTTCTGGGTTAACTGCCCCTGGGGCATTTTTACCAGCAGTGTGACCGTCAGCCTCATTTTCTCTTCTTCAATGAAGTGAGAAGAGCAGCCTCCCTTCACAGGCTGGTATGAGGGTTACACAGGAAAACAGAAGTCCAAGTCCAGGCACATAATGGGTGTCAGCAAACACCAGGCTCTCCCCATCTACAACTTTGCTAGAAAAAGCTCTTGTACGGTCATTAGGAAGAGGGATCGTTGGGTCCAAAAGTGTATGTGCATTTCAAATTCTGTTATATGCATTGCCAAATTCTCTTTGAAAATATTGAATCAATTTATACTTTCGTACAGAGCATATTTTTCTCCATCCCCTTGTCAACATGGAGACTGACATCTTTCTCATCTTTGCCAATCCAATAGGCACCATGTGGTGGTTTAGGCTTGATTTAATGCACCACTCTGGTTATTACTGAGGTGGGCGTTTTTCTTGTTTACTGGCCATTTGTGAGTCTTTTAATGTGTTCGTGTATGTTACCAAGTTTTCTATCACAGTGTTTGTATCTTTCTTCCTAATTTGAAAGAGTTCTTGGTGTTGCATGAATGTTAATCCTGTATTTTTCTCTTGTTTAACATGTGCCTTTTAGTCTCAGTTATATTTTGTTTTGTGTCTCAGAGGGCATAAAACTTGGGGCGTTCTTTCGTTATGTCCGTTAGTCTTTTCCTTTATGGTTTTTGGGTTTCCTGTCATGCTTGTAGACACTTCCCAATGCATGGATTTGTTTGACAGGAAGGTGGTTCTGGTGGTTAGTGTGGAAGATGGATTGGCAGGAGGGAGACGGAGGCACAAGACTCCTGGTCTCGTGGGGAGCCTGTTGCGGTAGCTGATGGAAGAGGAAACGAGGCAGAGGAGAGGGCTTGGATGGAGGGATGGGTTCACCTTGGTGAGGGGGAGGGAGAGGGCCTTATTTTTGACCTGAGCAATTGAGTCGATGGTGCCGTTTGGTGGAATGGGACCAGACCTGGAGGAAGGTGCTTTAGGTGTTAATTGCACTGCCTATGAGGTGTTTCCAGGACATCCAGGACACAGCTGGATGTAAGGAGGTGGAGTTTGAGAGCCATCTGGGCCTGAGCTACTGTCATGGGACTCCTGGCGGCATAAGTGGACACCAAAGCTAGGGAGAGTGTGATTTAAATGATGTTGGTGTACGTCCCTGGTGTTGAATCTCTTTCTGGTTTTATTTAAAGAGGCTCTGATAGAGGAGATCCCAGACAGACATTCTAAAACAATAACACACAGTGCAGATACATTCAAATAGCACTGATGGCTTTTATTGCAGATTTGTGTCATTACAAGGCTAATTTGGGAATATATTAAAAAAAACCCTCCCTTTTATATACACAAAACATGCTACATGGTACACTTTGTGAGAATGCTGAGGTAACAGGCATACACCCAGACATGGACAGTACCAAGTGTTCCAACATCTCGCACCCTCCGACCCACACGCCCACCGGAAGGGCCTCCCCTTGTCTCAGCTCCTGCTCCCTGCTTGGCAGTGGTCCTGATAGTGCTGAGTCTGACACCTCATGGCCAGCAGGACTTGGAAAGCCACCAACCATGTGCTGTAATGCACCAACTATGGGGGCTGGTGGCCCCGGGTTATTCAGTAACTCACAAGAAGTAGCAAGTTCTCATTTTTGCGGCACCTGCATTCTCCGGGGAAGTGTAGTTTGGGGGACGAGATGAGGACTCTAGTTGGCCTGAGAGCTTGGGACCTTTGGTCTGTAGCCATTTGGGGGTCCCAACGATCAGATGATGATGTCTCTTCAATTGAATGTCTCCTGGGCAAGGTAGGTTATTATTTCTGTGAAGGTTAAAATGACATGTAGGCTAAAGTGTGAATGGAAAATACAAAACTGCGAATACATTATCTATGTGGCCGGTCGTTAGCTTTTGGGCCTGGCCTGCCCTTTCCTGACCAGAAACCTGGCGCCCAGACTGTTTCCCACTCAGAGGCTAAGGAATCGTGCCTAGAGAGAAAGCATGTGTGACGGCGAAGGCAAGGAGAAAGCAGGCACAGAGTGAAGAAGAGCCGCAAAGGTGCCCGGCAGTACAAGTGGCTAAGGATGGACACACACAAGGCAGTTACTGAGCGTTATTGAACGAGCGAATAAGTGGATACATGGATGCATGGATAGATGGACAGACAGGTGGGTGGGTGGGTGGATGGATGGATGGATGGATGGGTGCATGGATGGGTGGATGGATGGATAGATGGGTGGATGGATGGGTGGGTGGATGGATGGATGGATGGATGGGTGCATGGATGGATGGATGGTGAAAGTCCTGAGAATGGGGAAAAATGTAGAAATGGAGATGGAGGGGTTTTTGAAATTTGATTAGGTGCCCAGGGGGGTTCTTAAGCAAGGAAGTTGAGAACCCCTATGTGAGAGAATAGCATTGTAGACATTCCTGGAAGAATCCAGGCACATGGATGCCAAGGATAATGCTGTGAATTGGAGCTATACAGTCTGGGATCTGCTCTTTGACTCAAGTAACACAACAGAATGAAATGCTGGTCTCCTAAAAGCAATGCTATTGGTAAGAGCTTCAACCTGTGAGAACGGAATATGTGTGTATTCAGGTATATAAGGCAAACCTTTATATGTATCTAGATATATGACATGTGGCATATATCTAAATGCATATATATATGTGCTGTGCACATAAGTGCACAAGGTCGGCTCATACACGTGTATGTTAGGAAGGTATTTTGCAGTTGCGTTTTTATTGTAGGGCCTTAACTTATTTAAATGAGGCTGGTCTGCAGTCCTGCCCTGTCTGGAAACATGAGGGGCTGTCTGGTATGAAGAAAAGTGGTAGGGAGAGAATACTGTATCCATTCAGTTCCATTATCTGCCACGGTGATGTGGGAAATCAGAACCCAGTGTCCCAGCCTCCCAGCCCCAAGGCGAACTGGCGGGCAGTTGCTTTCTGTGCTGGGGCCAGCGTGGCCGGGGCAAGCTCCTGGTGAAGGCCACGAGAGGTCAGGAGGGGCGCTGCTTAGTGGAAGGTGTTGGGATTGGGCCGGATCATCATCACCACTTTCTTGAGCGAGTAGGAGCCTCCTCGGAACTCAGCCCAGTAGACTCCGTCCTGGTAGCGGCTCCGGTAATGGCCCCCGCGGTACCAGACCCCGTTGAGGTTGGAGTGGGCGCAGGCGTTATACCACCAGCCTCCTTTCTGATAATGGGCACAGTTTCCTGCAGGAGAGAAGGGAGTGAGAAGGTCTCGGGGAGGAGGCCTTAGGCTTTCCCCGTGGCCAGTTTGCTTGGGGACTTCAGCAGGACCCCCCTGGGGGCATTTGCAGCAAGAAGGCTTGAGAGGTGGACCAGGCCTCAGACCTGCTCAGACCTGTCTTTGAGGCTCGGCCTTCTGGCTAACGAGCTGTGTTATCTCAGACAAGTCACTGAATTCTTATGTGAAATGAGGATCAACGTAATGCCTCCCGCACAGGGCTGCGGTGGGGATTGAGTGAGGGCACGCATTTCAGCACTTAGCCCTGGGCTCCATGCAGGGGAAGTGCTGGGGAGGACGCCACACCACAGGCTTATTGGAAAACGGAAATGGCCTGAGGTGGGCGGGCAGAAGGCAAAAGGGTGTTTCTTAGGAATTTTTTTAAGAGTTGAAACTGTTGGATCAAGAGTCTTTATAGGATGACAAAGGAGGTGCTTAAGAGAAAATTCTCCTCTATTCCTCCCCAGCCTGTATTCCAGCCAAATATATATATTTTTTTATTATTTCTCAAAAGAAAGATATTTTCATGAACCTTTGGGCACTGTCACATCATACTGGATTTTTGACGACAAGCTGCCCGGGACAGCAGTCCAAGTGTGTGCAAGGTGCAAGTGGCGTGCAGGGGCTCGGCCCTCCATGGGGCGGCGGGGGAGGGGAGCCACTGTCCGCCTAGGCTGCTCTTAGTCAGAAGAGGGGGGCCCCAGTCTTCTGATCAGGCCTAGGAAGGGGACCCTGACTCAGAGGAAGGGCGGCTCCAGTCAAGTTTGTGGGTGGGGGGCCTGGTGGGGACTGGCAGCCCTTCTCCTGCTGAGGCCTTGGGATGAGGTGAGGAGGGAGCAGGCCGGCCAAGGCTGAAAGCTGACGAGAGACTCAGCCCGGGCACCTCAGAGCCCCTGCAGCCCAGGTTTTCCCAGCATGTTTCTCGGGTTCCTCTGGGCCACGACTTGAGGCCACAGGACCAAGTGGCAGTGTCAGAGAGCAGAGAGAGCCCTTGGTAGCCACAGCCAGCCCCCCACCTGCCAGCGAGACCCCTCCAGGGCCCGGGAGCTCACCTCCTCACTGTCCACTGACTGTGCTGCCTGACAAGCCTGATGGTGGGGGTCACAGAGCAGTCCTCTCCCTGTACCAGCGCCATTGTCCCCAGCGTCTCATCAGCTCGAAGGGTCATTTTCCTGCCCTTCCAGCAGTGAGCTGGTAGAGGTCTCTAAATGTCCCCTGATGTGGGAACCATCTGCTGGAGTGTGGCTGCCACGGGGCCCTGGAGTGAGGACCTCCCTCCTCTGTGTAGGCAGCAGAGCTTACCTGAAGTGCAGGTAGCTCCTGGGACGGTCCTCAAAGGGGAGGGATCAGCCTTCAGACCAGGACTACATGGGGAGCTGGGGCGGGAGGGGGCCAGGTTTGCCCCTGAAAAGCGACAGCCTTGGCCTGGAGGCAGGGTCCCCTCAGGGAGGAGCGAGGCCTCGCTGACTTTGCAACCAGCTAGGGCCTCATCTCAAGGAACGGGGGTGTGGGGCCTCGGGAGACTTGAACTGTGGGGTTATAATGTTCTGTTTCCTCCCTTGGTTTCTTTTCTTTTCTTGTTTTAAATCTAATAAAGACTTCTACTAAAGACCCAGTGTGAGGCTGTGATCTTGGACAGGGCACTTCGCCTCTCCTACCTGGTTTCTCTTACTTGGCGCCCTCCCAACTGGGCACTGACAGTGCATGCCGCTGCGGTAATAAAAAAGAGAGCCCCCTGGCCCGAGCCCCGACTACCTGCCAAGTCTCGGACAGAGCTCGGGTACTTTCTCTCTGACCTTCCCACACCCCTGCAAGGCAGTCATTGTCCTCAGCTGCAGACGTGGAAACCGAGGCCCAGAGAGATTAAGCAGCAGGCCCAAGACACAGAGCTGGTGAGGTGGGGGGTGGGGGCAGTGTCGACACCCAGGGCGTATGGCCCAGAGCCTGTGGGGACATGCAGCCCTAACACCTGGTGCCTCAGGCAGAGAGGTAATGCGAGCGCACCCAGATTGACCCTCGAATGTGTCTTTCATACACCCCTTTCCCTTTCCCTTTTTATAAGTGCCACTCTGACCCAGCTTTACAAAGGGAATCTATGGGCAGAGGGTGCAGGAGTTGGCCTTTGTGGGCAGGCAGCTGGGCCTTGGAGTCCAGGGCTCTGGCTTTGGTTGATGGCTTTGCCCTGTCCTCCACCTGGGTTTGACTCCACTGGTCCTACCTGTGTAGACATCATGGTCTCTGTCCAGGGTAGTGAACTGCTTGCCGTTGTGCCAGGTGAAGGAGTCACCAGCGTTGCCATGGTAGCGCCCCAGCCGCAGCTTATAATACTCGCTCTCAGGCTCCAGGCGGAAGCTGGCATATTCTGCAAAGACCTTGCGGCCAGACCAGTCCTCCATGGTCACCAGCAGTTTGTAGTTGCCTTGGTTTGTCAGCCAGTAAATGTTCTCCAGGCCCAGCCAGTATTCGCCATCAATGTTCCCAAACCCTTGCTGGGGAAAACGTGGGAGAGCGTTAGTGAGGAGCACGCAGCACTCTCGGCCAGCAGGGCCCAGCTGCCAGATGCTCAGCCTTGGGCAGAGGGGCCCGGATTCAAATCCCTGCTCTGCCCGGCTGTGACTCGATGAGCCACGCGCCTCGCTGAGCCTCAGTCATGCATCATCAAGACTGTTGAGAGATCGCCTGGTCCGTGCTGGGCACTGTGTAAACACGAGAGGGGCTGTGTTGCCCTCCCTCACGGTCGTGTGGGGACACATGTGATGCAGTAAATGGAGAGCCCAGCACACAGTAGGCATGCAACAAGAGCTCCTTGGACAGATCCCTTCCCTTCCCTGAGCTTTGGTCTTCTTCCCAGGGGCGGGCTATGCGTGAGAGTCCCATGTGACCTCTGAGTGTGAGGTGTGACAATCATGTGCCACAGCCACCCGGGCTCTCTCCTAGGTCTAAAATCCGGTGGTTTTGTTACTGTTTTTACATGTCATTTGGGGAGTCACCAGGTGAATGGTGGCCACTGAAGAAAGAAAAATCCACTGAAAATAGGTGGAGTCATTGATAATATTGATAATAGCTAGTGTTTAGCTCACTAACCACTGTACTGGCATTTTGGTGTGCTGACACTGTTATTAGGACTCTACGTAGGTTATTTTATTAATCGTCATGCCAACTCTAAGAGCTAGGTGCTGTTATTATGTTCTCTAGAATGGGTGAACTGAAACCCAGAGAGGGCCAGGGTCACAGAGTGTCAGCCAGGATTTGAGCCAGGAACCCGGCCTTAACCATTGTGCTCTACTGCCTCTGAGAAAGAGAATACAGACAGGAGGCAGGAAGCGTTAGGGAGTGAGTCTGCAGGAAGCGCTCCATTAGGAGGCAGAGGGGAAAGAGGAGAAAGCAAAGACACAGGCTGGCACAGAGGTGGGTTGGAGGGCACCCAGGACAGGCAGGCGGCACGGCAGAGCCAGCCACGGGCAAGCGCCCCGGCCAAGGGGGTTTGTCGGCTTTGCTGTCCAAGGCCTAGGCTCTGGACACTGCCCTCTCATTCCCAGCTGTGCGGCCCCGAGCAAGTGACTTAACTTTTTCATCCATAAACTGGGTCGTTATTGGTATCTCCCTCCTCGGGTTGATGTGAGACTAAATGAGGTACTAAATGGAAGCCCTTGGGGGTGCCTGGCCCGTGGCGGGCACCCAGTGCACTGAGCTGCTCTGGCTGGCTGGCCGTAGTGCCACCTGTTTGTCCGGAGGAGGGGGCAGTAGCAGCCTCTCCTACTATGAGGGTCAGCATCCAACCCCTGGGGATTGGGAGCTGAGAGGAGGAGCCCTAGAATTAGGACTGCGTACTCGCAGTTTCCTTGGGAGCTTCCCCGGGGTCTGAGAGCCTTGGGATTCGCTTCTTCTGGGCTGTGAGACCAGGTCTTTCCCCAAGGAAGCCCCAGCCAGGAGTAGGATGCTCCCCACACCCAGGTTGCAGTGAGGGGCCACCGCACACCAGCATTTCTAAATCACCACCCCATCTGCGGGGCTTGGTGGTCTAGACCCCCCTCCCACACACACACCCATTGTGGCCATGCAGCCGTGGTGAGTGGCAGGCAGGGAAGGAGCTACTGGTCCTCACCATCCCTTGTGGGTTTGCAGAAATGGCCCTGTCGGTGTCCTTGCCTCAGATGGTTACTGTTTGGGGCTGCACAGACCCTGACAGGTCAGCTCACACCTTCCCTCTGGTCATTCAGACCTCTCGAGGTGGGCTGGTCTCTTTGTGGGCAGCACAGATAAGCCTGCAGTTCTCACCTTGTATGTCTCCCAGTTCCTGAAGAAGTTGACAGAGCCGTCCAGGCGCCTCTGGATGACGGTCCAGCCCCCGGGGTCGTGTCTCTGGTCGCACCACACCTGCATGAGACGGTTGGTGTTCTCTGGCTTCACCAGGTAGATGGAGCTGGTGTCATGGCCGTCCTCCAGAGCCTGCAGGCAGTCTCTCCAGGGGCCTGGGGACACAGATGTGCGCACATCACAGACCTACCTGTTGCCTGTCTCCAGGCCACCGAGTCACATTCATACCCCAACCCCACCCCTGGCTGCACCCCAAGCAGGCACAGCCCCTGACAGAGCTCTAGCTGCAGTGAGGTGAAGTACAGTAGTCCCCCTCATCCACAGTTACATTTTCCAGTTTCACTTACCCACGGTCAACCACAGTCTAAGAATATTAAATGGAGAATTCCAGAAATAAACAATTCATAAGTTTTAAATTTCGAGCCATTCTGAGTAATGTGATGCAATCTCGCACCATCCTGCTCTGTGTCCCGCCTGGGACGTGCATCACCCCTCTGTCCAGCGTCTCCATGCTTATACGCTCCCGCCGTTAGTCACTTAGTAGCCTCTCGGTTATCGGATCAACTGATCCCAGTCTTGCAGTGCTTGTGTTCAGGTCACCTTTACTTTATTTATTTATTATTTATTTATTTATTTATTTATTTATTTATTTATTTTTATTGTTAGTTTCAGGTGTACAGAACAATGCAATAGTTACCATTTTCACCCTCACAAAGTAACAACCCGCCTCCCCCCATCTATTGCCCTCCCATCCCCGATATCATGCTTATCTATTACAGTTCCATTGAATCCGTTCCCGCTCTCTACTCCATGTCCCGAGACTATATGTATATATATATAATTATAGTTGACATACTATATTATTCAACATCAGCTTCAGAAATACAATGCGGTGGTCAGGCCTCTACATCGACTATGAAGTGGACTCCCCAACAGGACATGGGTCCATCTGGCCCCCTAAGAAATATTTACAACATTATTGATTATATTCCTCGGACTGTCTTTTTCTATCCCTGAGGCCATATTGCAATTACCAATTTGTATTGTCTCATCCCTTCCCCTCTCCTTCATCCCCACCCCCTCCCAACTAGCAACCCTCAGTTCTTCCTCTGTGTCTCTGAGACTATCTCCATCCACTTCTCCCATCCATTCAGTTCCTTAGAATCCATGTATAAGTGAGATCATATGATATTTGTCTTTCTCTGATTGACTTATTTCACTTAGCATAATGTTCTCTAGTTCCATCCATATTGTTGCAAAGGGTACTATTTCCTTCTTCTTTATAGCTGAATAATACTCCTTTAGTTAGTAATGGCCCCAAAGTGCAAGAGTAGTGATGCTGGCAGCTCAGAGATGCCAAAGAGAAGCCATTAAAGTGCTTTCTTGAAGTGAAAAGGTGAAAGTTTTCAACTTAAAGGAAAAAATTATATGCTAAGATTGCTAAGATCTACAATAAGAACAAATGTTCTGTCTGTGAAATTGTGAAGAAGGAAAAAGCAATTCATATGAGCTAGTTTGCTGAGAGAAAGAGCACATTCATATAACTTTTATTATAGTATATTGTTACAATTGTTTTATTGTTGTTGTTAATCTCTTACTGTGTTTAATTTGTACATTAGACTTCAGTGGTTTCAGGCATCCACTGGGGGTCTTGGACTGTATCCCTGGAGGATAAGGGGGGAGGGCTGTTATGTGATCTAAAGATAAGAGCCGGGCAGAGGGGTCAGGATGCCTGGACTCCAAACCCATTTCCCACTGAATCCCTCACGATGTGACCTGGGCACGCTTCCTCACCTCTCCAGGCCCTCAGTTTCCCTAGCTGTGAAAGGGAGACCAACTTTACCTCCGTTAAGGCTGTAAGGACCGCTGAGATCATTTGTGTGGGGTTCTTGGAGTGATTTTTCTTTTAAACTTGGTTAAATTGGCAGAAAGAGCTGTGTGCCTGCTACCCTGCAGCAATCCTCCTCAGCCTGAGCGGGTCCCGACGGCCCTGCCCCAGCCAGGGACACGGGCTCCCTGCTCTCCCTGAGGCTGTGGGCCAAGGTGGCCGGCGGCACCTCAGTGCCAGCTCCACACTTGCCTTTGCAGTGACAGTGCTCGGTGACAGTTGCTGCAGTTTTCAGTAAATGAATTTCCATGGAGTCATGGGGGCCCAAGCAGTGCCCCAAATGTGGCCACGTAGCCAGCGATTTCAGGACATTTCTAGGATTCAGACACTGGCTTCCAAATATCTTGTGGGTGGACCAAGTTCCCTTTCGGCTCAATCTGTGTGTTTTCCAAGGGAAACTCCCTGAGGGCCAGATGTGCGGAGATCACACCTTCTGGACTGATTGTTTAATAGTCAAGCCCACGAACTTAAAGGACCGTGTCTAGGACACACCCCAGTCCGCAGCTCTCTCCTGAAGCTCACACCAGATGCATTCTGTGATTTTCTGTGACTTCACTGAGCTTGGGCAGCCCAGTCAGAAGGAGTGGGTGTCACTGGGTGTCTGAACAGCTGCTGTAGCTCTTTCACCATCCCCACTCCCATCTCCCCTGGCGGTTTCCTGTGTTTGGATGTCGGTCCCATCAACAGGGAAGTACAAACTTGAGTCACCAAGGTCCACATAAACTGGGCTCTTCTTCCTTATTCATCTGAGGAAACTTGAGAAGGTTTTCAGGATCTAGCCATTGAACCGCATATTTTAAAACAAATTAAATCGCCATACTTCGCTTCAGCTTCTCTTCAAACTATTCCCGAAACTGAGATGGTTAAGATCAAAAGTGCTAGGAAAATTCCATCTTGTTCTTTCAATTAATTGGTATGTTTATTCAGCAACTGTTTATTGAGTCCCAGCTTTGGCAGGTACTGTGCTGGCAGCGGATGCCCAGGGCAGGGTGGGGGCTGCCCTGATGCCCAGCAAGGGAGGAGCTACCTCAGCAGCTTTCTCTGAACTTGAATTCCTGTGGAATCTCGTCCTTTCTCCTCTGGGCTTGTGGGAGGGGTGGAGGGAGCGGGTAACGCAGGTGGCAGGTGTACTCAGCTTCCCCTGTGTAGACCGAACTTCTCACGTTTCTTCCTGGCTGGTGGTTGGGCCTAACTAGCCCATATGTGATGGTAAAACAGGAAAAGTTTAGGTGTTTTGGTCTTTGTTACACGTCTCCAGTGGGCTTTTCTGGAGCGCTCGCAGCTGTGTTTGAGCATCCCACCTGGAGCCTGACAGGAAGGCGGGGCTGTCTGGCTCACACTCTGTACAGCACTGAGAACGGCCGGCGTGGGTGCTCGTCGCCGACAGTTAACCCAGGGGGCTCCTCCCTTCATCCTCCAGGGACAGGCTTTCACCCATTTACCTGTTCACCAGCCCTCTGTCCCTCCAAGGGGTGGGGCAATGCCTCCACTCCTCCAGGTAGCAGATGTGGCACAAGCGGCTGATTCCTTCTTTGCCTTGTGCCTCTTCCGTCCTGGGAAGGGGAGGCCAGACCTCCAGAAAGAGCATTCATGGCAGAGAAAAAGGTTTTGGTTGTGTTCAGCCCACAGCCCCGGGGACCCAGGCAGAGAATAGGAGTCTGTCCCTGACAGCTGGAGCAGAGCGTGCAGTGGGCGTGGGAGGCCGCCCAGCTCTCTCCCGAGTCAGAAGCAGAGGAGAGACCGTTTGATGCGAGTGCTGGCGCCGGAAGACCCCGCCAAAGCCTGCAGAATAACAGCCACTGCAAACCAGCAGCCAGACCTCTTACTGTAGAGCTGCCGCAGGGCTCCTGTGGAGTTCTCAGCTGGAAAGGCAGCTTTGAAGAGGGCGCCACGTGGGGAGGAGAGGCTTGGGAGGCCAGTGGGAGAGGGCAGGTCCGCCTCATGCCTCCCAGTCTAAGCCACTTTTGTAGGTGCCATCAGTGGTTTCAGCTTTACCTGTGACTTTTCTACAAAGGGCTCTCTTTAAAAGGCAAGTGCTTTAAAATGTTTTGGGGTCACCGGTCCCTTTAAGAACTTGGGGAAAGCTCTAGACACTCTCTTCAGAAAAATGCACAGACTCACACAATTTTGCTTATAATTGCAGAAGGTAAACGGACCTCCACACCCCAGGTTATGAAGCCCTAGCTCTGAGAGAGTCCAGACTGGGGTAGTGGTGATGGTAAAACACCCCTGCTAGCCAGTGTGCATTGAGCACACACCATGTGCCCTATCCATGTATTCACAGATGGGGAAGTCGGAGCATGGGGACGTGAGGCGACACCCCTGAGGTTGCATGGCTGGTGGGGCACAGCCAGTATCTGAACCAAGGTGGTCTGGGTGGTCCAGAGCCAACACACCAGAGCTTTCTTCTTTTCCTCCAGCCAGAGTGAACTGCATGCAGGGTAGGGGGCCCAGGCTGACTCATCTGTGTGTCTCTAAGACTATTTTTAATCTTTTCCAGTCAGGTTAAAAAAATACAAATTTAAAGTTTTCCTTTGTCAAGGTGTTATTCCCTTTTTAAAAAAATCTTTATTAATTATTTTTCTTCTATGCTTACCTTTTGATATCCTTTGCCCACTTTTCAACTATTTTAGTATCTTTTATGATGTAGAAGTTTTCCCTTACTTTTAATTATTTTTTTAAGGCAAATCTGGCAGTTCTTTCTTTTAAGGCTTTTAGGTGTGGCATGCTTTCTAAAATCATGGAGTAGGTGTGAATTAGTGTAGAAGTTTTTTCTGCTATTTAGTATTTTCTGTGATTACAAAGTTTAAACACATTACCCTTTCTTACATTAAAGGCACCAATGGCAAAGGTCGAAAGATTAAATGATGGATGAAAATTAGAAAAATACTTAGCATTGAAAAATTGGCAGCAGTAAATCGATCAAGTAGCAGAAAATGGCAGCAGTCAGATTATCATGTGGCTGCATTAAAATAGCCGATTCAAAACATCCTACTTGGATGAGAAACCTGTACGTGTTATGAATACACATATGTATAACCTGTACCTGTTATGTTGTTTTGGAAGGTCAGGTGAGGTGTCTTTGGGGACTCTATGGAGGAAGTGTGGGGCTGGGGCAGGACCCCAAACTTGGAGTCGGCTCAAATCTTGGTGGCTTCATCTCCTCATAGTGGGACTTTGGGGGATTTCCTCGAACCTCAGTTTCTTCTTCTGTAAACAGGGGGAAAGAACACGAGAGCACCCAGCATGAGGCCAGCCAGGGCAGGT